TTGGCCTGGTCGTCCTTGGCCTTCTCCAGCCGCGCCACCTTCTTCTCCAGGGCGTCACGCTCCTTCAGAGACTCATCCAGGGCCCTGGGGGGTGGCGGCGGGGGAACACAAGGGCAGGTTGACGGGTGGCAGCAGACAGGGCTCTGGTTAGCACAGTGGTAGTGTGGATTTGGGAAGAGGGTAGATCGTGCGAGCCTCGTTGCCAACATGTATGAGCTGCACTTTGACTTGGACAAGCGCTTGAGGACGCCGCGGCAAAGGCCCGGCACGCCAGGCACAGGGGGTGCCCGCACCTCTCCGCCGCCGCCGCGCGTGTGTTGGCCTCCTCCGCCTCCCTGCAGCGCGCCTCCACCAGCGCGGTGAGCTCCTCCAGGCGGCCGTTGAGCACACGGCTCTGGGTCTCGTCGGCGGTCGCCTGCGCCGACGACAGCGCCTGCGTGCCAGGCCGTGGCGGGCGGGTGCGGTGGTGAGCTGCGGTGTGCTTGCGCAGCTAGGAGTGTTGTGGTTTTGCATGTAAGGTGCTCGGCGGCCAGCCATGGGGCTGAACGTCTGGTCCTGAGAACACAGGAGCTTTTGTGGTTTGTGCCCGTCCCAGGAATGCAAGAGCAGCGGCCCACCCACCGTGCGCGCAGACTCCAGCTCTCGCCGCGCCTCAGCCGCCTCGCAGCGCGCGGCCTCAAGCCGCCTGTCGAGCTCTGCGCGCGCATCACCCTCAGCCGCCAGCGCCTCACGTGCGTCTGCCAGCTCAGCCACTAGCTGCTCCCGCGCCAGCCTGGGGATTTGATGCGCGTGTCAGTGCGTGTTGCGTGGGTTTCGTTGTGATTGTGCATGTGTGTGTTTGCACACGCGCGCACGCGCGCGCACGCGCGCGCGCGCGCGCGTGTGTGTGTGTGTGTGTGTGTGTGTGTGTGTGTGTGTGTTTGTGTGTGTAAGGCCAGCATGAGTGTGCGGACAGGCGGCGTGTGTGTGCAAGAAGCCGGCAAGGGGTCCTGCGGCTCACTGCAGCCCCCACCTGAGCTCGCCCTCGCGTGCGCTGTTCTCCTCTGCCGCGCGCCGTGCGTCCTCCAGCTGCTGCGTGAGCTCCGCAATGTGGCCCTCAAACTTTGAGGTCACCGCACCCACTGGGGGGTGTTCAGAACAAGTGGCAGGGGAGGGCGTCAGTGGTGACACAGGTTTGGGCTCAAACACACAAGAAGTATGGCCCACAGAAGTAAAGCACTGGTAAAGAGTCATCATTGCAGTAATGCTTTCATTGACCATCATGGTGCCATTGCGCTGACTACTCACCTGCCGCGGTGGCTGCTGCTGCGGTTGCAACGCTGCCGTTGGCGCTCTGCTGGGGCGCGGCCTGCGCCACCTCCGCCTGTGCCTTGGCCTGATGGGGAGGCCAAGAAACGCCAGTAGGTTCGAGGGTGAGGTACAACAACAAACACACCTGTGGCCACCTGTGCGCATGCATGGGGTTACCCTTGTACACATTGGATTAGCACGCATGCATATGCACAGTGGACAGAGCACAAGCACGCCTTGGGACGTTACCAAAGCCTGCTGTAGGCAGCAGCTGATTCTTTGCAGCGCCAAAAGCCTCACCTTGGTGTACCTTTTGACCATGACGTCATTGATGTGGGTCTGCAGCGCCATGCAGATGTCCTCACCCTGTGTTTGGGTTGAGAGTGTATATTCATTAGGCCGGGGGGCCGGTCGGGTGCATGAAATCTGAAAAGCTAGCTAAAGAGGAGAGCAAGATGAATGGGGCCATGTCAGGTATGAGCAGGTGCAGCAGCGTCCTATCTACCAGTGGTCAGCCATGACAGGCGCCACCGTCCACCCACGGAAGCGCGCGCCGCTCGACCATTGCCCCTCCTCACCTGCTTGGTCTCAAACTGGAATATGTGCAGCACCCCCGCGACCCTCATCTTGAAGAACACGGCCTGGCTGCTGCTGCCAAACTGCATGATGTCACGCAGCTCGGCGCTGTGGAGGTACTCCTTGGGCACGGGCCTTGGGGGCAGGGGGTGGGTTTTGGAGGGGGGGACATCAATGCGGTGGTGGGAGAGGTAGAGTGACGCCGGCAGCTGCAGGGCACTTTTGGGACCGACGATGAAAACCTAAACCCTGCAGTGCACTTTTGGGGCCGGCAAGCCGTTGCGTGCGGCAGCTGGTAGACCCCCAGCCTGCAGGTCTAGCCTGTAGGCACGCGCCTGTACCAACCCGACTGAGCAGCAGCCCTGCCAGTACCGCGCGCCCGCAATGCCATTGTCACCACCACACAAGTGCCCCGCCCACCTGAAGAAGTGCACCCCGCGCTTGTTGATGCCCAGCACCAGCTTGGCCGGCAGCAGGCCGATGGGGTCCTCGATGCGCCGCACTGTGAAGAAGGTGCTGCTGCCGTAGGGCAGGGTGCGCAGGATGCGCAGGAACTGGGAGCGCGCGTCCTCCTTGGAGAACTCAGACAGGGCCTTGTACCTGGGCGGCCGTGGTGCGGCACGGCATCAAGGCCGGTAAGGGCGCTCAAGCAACCGCGAGGGCGGGGGTCGACAGGACAAGGCAGGCGTACACACTGCAAGGGCTTGGTAGTAGTTGACCAAGAGCAAATGTTTCGGCGCTGACATCGCCGTTAACGGCCTCAGCGGAAGCAACCGGCCCCCTTCAACCCCTCATCTTGTATCCCAGCACCCTGGCCACGGCCTCACCGTGCGCCCACGTCTGCCCGCCACTCGTCGCGTGGCCGCGTGCCGAAAACCTGCCGCGTGATGAAGCGCTCACAGCCGGCCATCATGGCCTCGGGGTCGCCACCCAGGGCTGGCCCGTACTCCGCCTAAGGGGAGTGCAGAGAGAGGGAGGGAGGGGGAGGGGTGAAGGAAAGGCCACAGGTGTCGTGTCAGTGGGTGGAGCGGGTGCGTGACAGTCATGGCAGGTGGGCTGCTGGTTGCCGAGGGGTCGCAGGCTCCTGATTGTATGCAAATTCCATCTGGTGGCAGCGCTGATGAACGTCTGTAGGGCGGGCCCAGCGCGCCTGCCCACCACAGCCTCCGCGCACCTGCATCTGCAGCGCCGCCATCTGCGCGGCGTCGTCGCGCACCACGGGGTAGTTTCCCGCCAGGTAGTCGTGCTGGGCCTGGGGTGGGGGTGCACAGGAGGAGCATTGGTGGACGCGCAGAGTCAGTGACGTCATGCGATGACCAGGGGGGGAGATGTTGCGCCGCAAGAGCAGCCTGGTGCTGTGGAGGAGAATGGCTGGCAGAAAAACACATACCCCTACGCGCCTGCTGCATTCTGCATACAGATCCCCCACCCCGCTTCAAAACGAACCCGGCCGCCTCCCGACCTGGATGTAGCTGAGGTTGATGAACTGCGGCTCCGACACCGCCTCGTCCGTCTCCCTGAACATGCGCTTCTTGAACAGCAGCCGCGCCTGCCAGCCCTCGTGCGCGCTCTTAGGGCTGCGCAGGTCGGCCACCACGTCCGCGATGTACCTGAGGCGGAGGGAGGGGGGTGGCGGTTCCGAGGTTGAGATGAGGCGAGGGGAGCCTCCTGACAAGATACATCCCTGGAACTCTCAGGGCTACGCGAGCTCCCATTGGTGCCACATGCAACGGCGCAGGCTGCGTTTTGTGAAACTTGCAAGCGGTCCCTGTTGGCTTGCATCCGCTCCTGCCGCATGCCTCTGAATCCACTTCCTGTGCAAGGACTGCCCCTCCCCCCCCCCCCCGGGGGCGCGCACCTGTTGTCATCCAGCAGCGTCTGCTCGTCCCCTGGTCCGCCCTCCACCGCCGCCTTCTGCGCCACCACGGGCTTGTACCCCACAAACAGCGTGAACGTGCTGTAGGCCTGCAGTCGGATGATGGAGCTCACCTGCTCTACCGCCTCGAGCACCTGTCGGTTTGCCCCCAAAGCCGACAGCATGGGGTTGAGCTCACGATGGGCACAAAGGCCGCACCAATTGCAACCAGGGAGCCTGTCTGCAGCAGGTTTACGCACCTCCCCACGCGTTTCAGCCCATCAGGCAGCCCCTGCAGGACGCCTCCATCAAACCCCTCCTACGTGCGCAAAGCCACGCATCGCCCATCAGCCTCCCCCCCAACCCACCGTGGTGGTGATGTCGTAGGCGATCTCCTCAAAGGTCTCGTCCAGGAAAAACACCAGCACACTCAGCCGGCGCGAGGACAGGTGCGCCAGGATCTCCTCAGATGTGGGCAGCTGGCGGCGGAGCGAGAGTGGGTGTGAGTGAATACGAGGGCTACAGGGTGCCGCCAGGTTTGTGCTGTGAGGCCTGGGGCCGGCGGCAGAGACCCGGCTGCATCGCGGAACCGCAAAAGTGGGCAGGGCAGGCGCCACACGGCCGGCTCACCGTGCGCCGCGGTCCGGCCTTGGTGGACCTCTTGAGCGCCGCCCACGTCGCCTCTGCCGCTGTGCGCACCGCCTCGTCGCCGGGCGCGGGCGCGCCCCCGCCGCTGGTGGCTGCTGGGCCGTCGCGCACGACGCCGTGGACGTACTCGCTGATGAGGCCCGTGAAGTCCTGGGGGCCGAGAGCAGGCGCGCGCATGTGCATGCATCGTGCCATGGCGTTTTTTTCGTGTGCATGTGCATGGCGGGTGTCTGCGTGCACGCACGTGCACAAGTTGAACGTGTGTTTTGTTCGCCTGTGTGTGTTGTGTGTGCGCGCGCGTGCGTGCGGGCTTGCGGGGTTAAGTGCAAGTGTGTACTGTACTGTCAAGAGGGAAGGGTGCGGGAGCAAGGTGCTTGGTGGCAAAATCCCTGCAGCAGGGACGCCCACTCTGGTGGCACTCCCTCCTTGGCTGTGCAGAAATCTAGACGCGTCAGCCGCGCACGGCCAAGTTCCTCGGCGCCGCACCTTGCTGGGCGGCATGGAGGCAGCAACCAGCGTGAACAGCTCCCAGGCGCGCGCGCGGCTGGCGGGCAGGGGGTTGCCGCGCGTCTGGCGCACGAGCTGCATGTACAACTCGTCACGCAGCTCGGGCCGTTTCAGGCCCTGGGGCAGAAGGGGACGCGGTGCTGCAGGCGTCAGGGCGCTGGAGCGGGGTGTGCATGACATGCGGTGTGACCCGAGGGCTGCTACATGCCTGGGTAGTGCGAATCAAGCAGCAGCACGAGCATTCCATCACTCCCTGCATGTGATGTCTAGTTTGCTGTAAAAAACATATTGTGCCGCAGCCCTCCCACTCCCGGTCCCACCTGGTGCAGCAGCTTCTGGACCACCTCGACCGCCATGCTCTGCGGCAGCCGCCCCTCGCGGCCGTCGTCGCCGCAGTAGCGCTGGATGTGGGCGTGCATCTTCACGGCGCGGGACGCGTGCTCCGGGGCCAGCTTGAGCAGGGACGTGGGGATGGCCTCCTGGGGGGGCGGGGAATGTTCAGAGGTGATTGAAGAAGTGATCGCACAATCGGACATGGGAACAGGAAAATGGTTCCACGGTCGGACATGCCACCCCGCAACATGCAAACAACTGCAGCGCGCACGACGAGGGTGCTGAACGCCGCAGCTGGTCGGCGCAGCACCAGCAATCAGCCATGATTCCAGCTGTAATCCTCAGCCAGTACAGGCTGCTCAATGCGCCGTCGGGCCGCATATGATGGCCGAGTGACCATGCTCCGCAACACCTATGCACCCGGCTGGTGCCTGTGCGCACAAGGTTGCTTGCCAAGCACGCTGTGCAGCGTGCACATGCTGCACTCGCTCACGTTGGACCAGGTCAGCAGGTCCTCGGCAGACATTGTGTGCTGCGCCGCAGCCGCTGCGGCTGCAGCAGCCGCCACTGCCGGTGGCGTCCTTGGTGATGCGCCCGAGCCGCCCGGCGTCCCCGCGCCGCTGCCCTGGCAGCTGCCACCCGAGGGCGTCACCACGCCAGCCGGGCCAGCTGAGATGTACGCGTCACTGCCGAGCGCCATCTGGGCTGCCGCGGGCTTGGCCAACATCTTGAGCTTGAACAGGTTGGTCAGCTTGCCACCCCCGTTGGTGCGCTGCACGGCACGGTTGAAGCTGTCCAGCTGCACGCACATGCGGCCATGCAGTGGGGTTGTGTGAGACAAGGCGTTAACACACACGCGGCCTGGACAGCAGCCACTGGCTTGCGGGGCCTGCCAACAAGCTGGTGTGCATACGAGGCGCTCCCTTCGAGAAGCAAGCAGCGGTAGGGGTTGTTGTACGGCCGCTTCCAGCAGCTGCCGCACCTGGAAAGCGTCTGTGTGCCCGCTGAGCGCCTCGAGGCGGCGCGGCGGCGTGGCAAAGCCGTCACTTTCTAGTGCCTGTGTTTGAGCAAATGCCATAGCCACAGTGCAGCATGTTACCAGCAGGCTCAGCGATGGCAACATACGCTCCACGCCTTGTTGTCTCAAGAGTGCATGGCCCGAAGTGCTAACAACAGCCACGTGCTCCATTACAACCGGGGCGTCGCTGGCCCAGCGCAACCGAGCCTGACCGGCTGCGTGCACTCAGCTGGTGTGCATCAGAGGCCACCGCTTCTGTGCCGTCGCTGCTGCGCCCAACATGCACAACTGTCAGCCCAGCCTGCCCTCCTCTGCTCACCCCGCCGCCAGATTTGACGCTCCAGTCGTCCTCCATGGCCGCCAGGCCCCTGGCCCTGCAGCACGGGCGACACGCCTTGAGCAAAAGACCGCAGGTCACCGCAGGCTCACGCTCACACAAGCGGCTCCAGGATTCACGCTGCCGCACCGACACTACTGCAGCGCTGGTCATGAAGGCCATGGGCATGTGTATGATGGGCAAGTGCACGTCGATTGTGGACGCACACAGCGTCATGCACAACGCACCTGCTTGGCGCCAACTCTAAGGGTGCCTCCCCAGCCCTCACCAGGGCCCTTGTAGAGTCTTACAAGATATCAACTATACCCAAGTGCGGTCCGCGGGGTAATAGATTCAGCTGCGGTCCTCAAGACTTTGAAATGAATCGGTTGTGTGCTGGAGCAGCGCAACAACACTTGGTTGCGGAAACGATAGCAACATAGACAAAAGCCTCGCAGCAACTCTCGGTGCACCTTGTTGTGCTGCTGCTGCTGCTGCTTGCCCACCTGCTACCGACTGAAAAGCATCGTTTCTGCGAAGCTAATACTGGTTGGTTGTGTGCAGTCGTATTGTTTCTGTTTTTTATGCCTCGTGTTGCTCTCTCTCTCTCTGCATCAGATCGTGTGCACGCAGATCGATCAGCGAGTACGGTACCAGTGCGCACGAGCGTTCAACCCGCCCGCGCAACGCACACACGGGCTTTGGTCACCGACGTGGATGACACTATGTCCGGCGGAGGCGCGCGAAGCCCCCAGCACATGTGCTGGGAGTCTGTGTCACCTTGCAGCACTTTGCGCTTTCGCTGAGGCAGGCAATCGCGACTTTTGCTCCATGTGTGTGTGTATCCTGGAAATGATGCTCCAGAGTAAAAAGTCTGAGCCACACCTGTGTAGTAGCCCGCGGCGGCGGCGCTGCACTACCCCGGCGGCGCAGTTGCTGACCCCGGCGTTCGCACTGAGCGGTGTGCGACCTGCGCCGCGCAACGGCAAGCACATCCACCCTGGTGCATGCGGCCGCGACCGATTAAAGGCGGTGGAGACAGGCGCAAGGCCCAGCCTGTCCCCATACGCACGGCCCAACAACATGCGCCAAGCTGGGGAGCAGCCCGCTGCGAGGTGCACTGCGTTGCCCCTCGGGCCCATGGTGTGGCGCCTGATCTCACCACAGACTGATCCAGGATCACAATTTTCATGGCGTGAACTACGTCTTGATTCTTCATTGTCTAGTGAATAATGTAGCCAAAACTCAATTTGGTGTGATGGTGGTGCCCAGCTGTCTGCCGTGTGTTAATGAACATTTGAGGGCATTTGTCCCTGCTGAGTGCCTCCCTCACTTTTTGTTCGCAATCGTGTCCACCACAGTGGCTTGCACTAAGCCTCACTTACACATCCCTTGGGGGACCTGGGTGTTCACATTATCAAAGGTGTCGAATCCCGTGCCATTCCTGACAGATATGATTGCATTCGTCGCGAGTGAGTGCATGCACCTCCACACAGGGGTTAGCAACGCAAAGGGTGGCAGGATGGCTGATGTGAGGAAGCGTGGGGTGGGGTGTGGTGACAGCGACCAGTGGCGAATGTGGCGCAGCTCAAACGTGCAGTTGTGGCACATCACGCACTGCATGCCTGGTGGCTTTGTGCCCTCACACCATCTCATATCCTCTGTCAGCCAGAACGGCCCTTCGTCTATCAGCCACCCGTAATTGGCGCATCGTACAGCCCGCATGCCAAAACCACCGCACACTGCCCACACACCTCACAACCGCGCCCTGCCACAAGCACTCAGCCCGCCAGGAGAGCGACACACACCATGGAAGCTGTGATAGAGCTCTATGGCCCTGGCCTGCTTTCGCCCCTCGCATGTCCTGCCGCTACTACTAGTACCAGCATATTTATAGCAGCTCATGACTGCGCCCACCTCATGACACCGTGTCTCATGGCTGTGCCACTGCTACTCAGGCAGTCCTGCTGCAGTACACCTCCGTCACCGCAGTGTGCGTGCAAGATCAGCAGGCCCCCAAAATGTCCGTGGCACCATCGGCCGCAGAAATCCATAAGCTTTGCTGGTTTGAGTATTCTTGAGCTGCGTTTTGAGGCTGCAAAGCTTGATCAAAGGGCGCGGTCTCCCGCCGAGCGCGCTCCTGCTTTTTGGCACGTGTGTATAGAACGCAACTTGCCTCGCCATCGCTTAAACGCCAGCAACTCCGCCTCTGGGCGCTGAAATGCAGCCAGAGCAGGCACATTGTCCCGGCAGCGGCGCCGCGAAACGCACGCCGCGCAGGTGCTGTTGAGGCTCCAGTGCTGTGTTGTGGCATGTCGTCAGTGCGAGATGCAATCGCCCATATGGCCCAGGCGGTCGGTCATTCTTTCCGGCCGCTCCTGGGTCTCATGGGACAGCAGCAGCAGCAGCAGGGGCAGGAGCACTGTGACGAGCTCCACCAAAACAGTGCGCAGCTCTCCTCGCCGCATGCAGCAGCAGCACCCCCTGGTGTCGCGGCGCTGCACCCCCAGCAGGAGCTTGTCACGCGCCTGCAGGGCTTGGCGCAGCCGCAGCAGCACGGCGAGGCCGACCTTTCCTGCCTGTCTGAGGGGGAGCTGTGGCGCGTCTCTGGCGCCCACGACCTCAGCCAGGCCCCGCAGGAAGTGGAGCGACAGCTGCGAGAGCAGAGGACTGCAGTGGCGGCGCTGCGACGCACTGGCGGGCCCGCGGAGGAGCTCGTGGGCGCCATGCGCGTGGTCAACGCGCTGAGGGCCACGCTCCTGCTGCACCTGCAATGGGGGCCGCTGCGGCAGCCGCAGCCTCAGTCGCAGCCGCAGCCGCGGCGGCAAGCAACGGTGCGTATGCCGGCCAGGGCCCCCAACGCTACGGCACAGCCCTTTCACCTTCTTGAGCACGCACGCCATGCGCCAAGCAGGTTGCGATGCGCAGCCCCCCCCTTCCCCCAGCCTTGGAGAGCCCTTCCACCGCACTCCCCCACTCCACAGCCCTCGACGTCCCCTGCCGGACACCCACCCGCAGGTGCTGTTGCCCTTGCCGCCGCCGCCGGTCCCGCTGGCCCGCGTGCCGCACTCTCACCAGATCCTCAGCGCGTTGCGGCCGTTGGGGGTGCAGGACCAGATCAACATGGCGCAGATCAACATGGCGCGGCAGCGGCAAGCGCAGGAGCAGCTGACGCAGGACGCGCGGCTCGCAGAGCAGTTCAGGCGGGCGGCGCAGCGCCAGCAGCATGCAGCGGCTGGCCCCGACCACTTCCAGGCGTATGCGCAGGTGGGCGCCCTCCTGCACATGCACCGCACACCCCCGCCTGCACCCCGCCCGCATGCACATGCCTCTGCAGGGCCAGCGACTTGTGAGGAAACTCGGCCCGCCTCCCTCGCCGCCGCGCTGACTCTTCACGCCCTGGGTTGATTCTTGCAGGGCGGGCCTGGAGCCTATGAGGGAGGCGCACGGCTGCAGATCCTGGCTGTTGGCCCCCAGCCCGCCGCCCTGGCGCCGACGCCCGCCCAGTACGTGCAGTCACTGCGGCAGCCCGCCCCGGGGTTGGCGCAACTGCAGGCGGACGCTTCACACCTCTGGAGTATGGTGCAGGAACGCGCACAAGAGGAGGCTCAAGCAAACACGGTGGCGCGGCAGCGGGGGCATGGTGAGAGTGTGGCTGTCACAATTGCTCTGAATGCTGCAGTAACTGTGTCCCACTGCACATTTGGCCTATGCCGCTCGCTTGTGAGCTTTGGACCTGCGGCTGTCATATGATGCATCAAATGTTGGCCATTGTGCTTGACCTTCCTGCTGCTGCACAGCAGGGGACGACTCCGCTCAACGCGCTGGCTTGGCAGCGGAGCGGCGCGCAGAAGAGCGGCAGCAGCAGCAGCAGCAGCAGCAGCAGCAGCACCACCACCACCACCACCACCACCACCAGCAGCACCACCAGCAGCATCACCAACCGCAGCAGCAGCAGCTGAAGAGGAAAGCCAGTGAGCCCAGGACAATCCAACGCCTTCCCCTTCCGCTACCTCGTCCGGAGCAGCTGCAGGTCCAGCACGGCCCTCCCATGCCAACCCGGATGCCTGCAGGCGGGTATCAAACGCTCGCCGGCCCGGCCTGAGCGCATTCTGGGACATGCACCCGGCAGGGTGTTCCACCCTTGCACCGGCTTGCTTTGTTTAGTGCAAACATGAAATCATGCTGTGCTTGAGGAGTCAAAGCACAGCTCCTGCCAGCCATCGCCACCACGGTCGCGCTCACGCATTGCTGTCTTGGCCTGCAAGCACCTTGTTGGCCTGCCCTGTGCTGGACGCCTGTTCCCACCCATACGCATGCGCGTGCATACACGCACAACAGCACTCTCGCAAGCACACGTGTGCGCTTGTTTGGATGCACATACAGGTCGTCCCTCCGCAGTCAGGAGCGCCGTCCTCCCTGGCACAGGCCTGCTGTTGCACCAGGCACCGCGCATGGTGAAGCGGTGCGTGCTGGCTCTATGGGGAGGTTGCATCCCGGGGCTTGTGGCGCAAACGGGTCGTCAGAGGCAAACCTGTTGTAGTGCCCAACGCCTGAGATCTCGACCCGTCCCCTGCAGGCGCTGCCCCGAGTGCACCAAGGAGCGCCCAGAGGACGACATGTGCGCGCAGCCCGGCTTTGGGGAGATTTGCCGGCACTGCGTGGCGGAGCAGCAGCGGATGGTGGCCGCGGCTGAGGAGGCGCGGCGGCCGATCGAGGTTGGCCTGGAGCCGGAGGACATGGGGGCGGCGGCGGTGAGCGGCGCCGCGCCGTGGCTGGGTCGAGGTGCTGGGTTGGCGGCGTCAGGAGCGTAGGGACGTGCAGGATGGCATGGTCAGAGCGTTGGCTGCATGGGGGATTGGTCCTACTGCGCAGCTGCTCTGTGCCGCAAACCAGCCCCTCCCATCCTTCCTGTACGGCACTCTGAGCAACCTCAATTCTAGTAGGGCTCATGTGCATGTGTCCGCGTTTGTTGCCGCACGTGCGCGCCACCACTGCGCGTCCAGGCACCTGCGGCCCGTGGCAGGGGCCCGCGTGCCAAGAGCTCAGGCGCGGCGGCGGGCCGGCGGGCGCGCAGTGCGCGGGGGGCGGCGGCGGCCCATGACGCGCAGCTGCAGGGCAAGGGCCACCAGGTGAGGGCGGGGCCAGGGTCGTGGCCGGGGGGGGGGGTTGGCCCTGCAAACCATGCTGCTTCCGTCCTGTTGCTGGGGTGTTGGCGAGGACGCGGTGCACTGCTCACAGCGATGCCTGTGAGGCAGGAGGAGGCCCCCGGCCCCACAGCCACCCTGCAGTGAGCCTCCCAACGTCTCATACTGCGGCAATCTAACCCCACAGCGTGTTTGCCGTTCAATCTCACTGCGGTATCCGCTCCCCCAACTTGCCTTTCCATATGTTCACGCACACCGTTTCTGCTGCACCTTGAAGCACTACTGTTCGCCACCGACCGAAACCTCCGCACTCCTGCATGCATGTCCTGCCCCCACTTCCGCCGCACCAGGACGCGCCCATAGTGCTGGACAGCGACGAGGACGTGTGTGAGGCGGCGGCGCCTCAGACCACCAGCACAGAGCCCACGGCCGGCGCGGGCGCCAACGGGCGCGCAGCCAGGCGGGCCGCGGCCAACGGGCAGCCCGTGCCTCCCGGGCAGCTGTATGCGGTGAGCCACGGCACGCAGCAGACGGCTGCCGCCCCAGTTGATGCACACAGCCAGGGTCCAAACCTCAACAACGCGACTGCCTCTAAGCAAACGTCGGGTTGACCTCCAGCATGGACGGCAGTATACCCGCCCTGCGACGCACTGGCTGCCCTCCCTGATCCCTCAACCGCCGGGCCCCTCCCCTCTGC